TCCATCACCAAGGGTTATTTAAATAAACCACAGCACATCCGCACTAGGACATATTATGCAGCCTGAAAAAGACTTCAAGATGGTGAAATAGTTATATGAAAAAAAGCAAGGTGTAGAAAATATAGTATGGTTCTATTTCTGTTAAGAACAAAATAAGGGGCACATGAAAAAATGCTCAATATCACTAATTATCAGAGAAATGCAAATCAAAACTACAATGAGGTATCACCTCACACCAGTCAGAATGGCCGTCATTCAAAATCCAAAAATGACAAATGCTGGAGAGGCTGTGGAGAAAGGGGAACCCTCCTACACTGCTGGTGGGAATTGCAGTTTTGGTGCAGCCACTGTGGAAAAACAGTGTGGAGATTCCTCAAAAGACTAGGAATAGACTTACCATATGACCCAGGAATCCCACTCCTGGGCTTGTATCCAGAAGGAAATCTACTTCAGGATGACACCTGCACTCCAATGTTCATAGCAGCACTATTTACAATAGCCAAAACATGGAAACAGCCTAAATGTCCATCAATAGGTGACTGGTATATTTATACAATGGAATACTACTCAGCCATAAAAACCGACAACATAACGCCATTTGCAGCAACGTGGATGCTCCTAGAGAATGTCATTCTAAGTGAAGTAAGCCAGAAAGAGAAAGAAAAATACCATATGAGATCGCTCATATGTGGAACCTAAAGACTCATGGACAGAGAATACAGACTTGTGGTTACCAGGGGGTAGAGGGTGGGAAGGGATAGACTGGGATTTCAAAATTGTAGAATAGATAAACAAGATTACACTGTATAGCACAGGGAAATATACACAAAATGTTATGATAAATCACAGAGAAAAAAATGTGACAATGAGTGTGTATATGTCCATGAATGACTGAAAAATTGTGCTGAACACTGGAATTTGACACAACATTGTAAAATGATTATAAATCAATAAAAAATGTTTAAAAAAAGAACAAAATAAGGGGGAAGATATGCACATGTTTTGTAAATGGAATTCTGAGAAGTAATCACAAGAAGCTGGTAATGACGTTCCGCTCTGTCGAGGAGGGAGAGAGGACACAGGGCACCTAGACTGGGAAGGTAGTTTGCTTTTCACTGTTTACCATTCTATAAGATTTAATTTCTTATTATCCATGTATTTTTAATTTTAAAAACTATTTTTAAAATATGTAAATGAAACCTTTTTTTTTAAACTGCCATTCCTGGAATTCACTTCTCATTTAGATTAGAAAACCACAAGAAAATAAATTATGTTTCCCACCCTGGTAAACAAAGGCCAGATTAGCTGGAAAAATCAAAAATATCTTTCATTCATCAGAAAGCTGAGGACATAAAGAAACCCAAGTGAACCAACTTCTAGAAAGTGGTAAGACCTTGATAGGAGAAGAGAGACACATGGCTGCTCATATTCCTGGCTGAACTATGCTAGGAAGAGAAATCCACAATAGGGGAATAAAGAAGCCAGTTGACCTTTAACAAAATCTTAACAGCCCCATGGAGGCCAGCATGACATTAGAATTTGGAGGACGAAATCCATAGAGAAAGCCTGTACCACCTACTAATCTGACCTCTTAAATCTTAACCAAGTGCAGGTGGGTAGTAGACCAAAAGTGGGAGCAAGCGGGGTGGATTAACAGAAAAAGAGGAGACAGATTGCGCCTTCCTTTGAGGTAAGTGGAGACTTTCCCAAGTGCAAGATACCCTTTAAAATGAGGGGGCAAAGCACGAATCCTGAGAAATCCACCAAAGATACTCTTGAAGGTTAAGAGTGAGGCAGCAGAGCTGAGACACCCATCCACTAGGCACTGTGGGCATTCCTCTTCCAAAGACTAAGGGCAGAGCGCTCAGAAGGGCTGGGCGAAATGCCTCCCCACCCCGCCGTCCCAGTGACCAAGGAAACCTGGCAGCCAGGCTGGCTTGTCTACATTTTCCGTTAGAAAGGAGCGATATCCCACATTTCCAAAAGCTGACACCTTGGCTGTGAAGCGAAGTCAGACCTCTGGAATCTTGTCAATGCCTCAAATCCAGGCTCTCTTGAAGGGAAAGTTCTGATTCTGTCTTCAAATATTTGAAGCTTAGTGAACTAAGTCAAACTAACGCTGTAATAGAGCCCTGATCTGCGTCAGGTATACATCAGATTCAGCCACTACTCACATGGCTGAAAGAAAAATAGGCATACCCCATTTTACAGGGAAGTAATATTTACTTCAGTCTCTATTTTGTATGTAAAACGTCCAGCATACAATCAAATATACAAGACGTGCAGAAGCAAGAAAATGAGACCCACGGTAGTAGAGGAAAGATTCAACAGAAGCAGAACTAGAGCTAATCCAGATGTTGAATTATCATTTGGGATCTTGATATCATTTGGGATCCAGCTAAAAGTAAAATGCTAAAAAATCTAGCGGAGGCCAAAATATTCGAGTCAATAGACAAGAGTTTTTTAAATAACTACGATGAAAGTGCTTTGAAGAATCTAGTGGGAACTGCGAAAAATGTGCATGGAAAAATGGAAAATTTTAGCAGAAACACGTTAACTGTACAAACATAATGAAACACTAGAAAAAAATACAGTATCAGAAATAAAAATTTCATTAGATGGGTTTAACAGGAAAGCATCAGGGAAATTGACAACAGCTAAATGGAAAGTATCCAAACTGAAAACAGAGAAGAGAATGGGGCGAAATCATCTGAGACCTGCAGGATAGTATCAGGTCATCGAAAAATATGTGTGTAACTGGAGTCCCAGGAGGAGAGGAGAGGCGGGAGAGTGTGGCGCTAAAGAAACATCTGAAGAGTTAATAGCCAAGAAATATCCAGTGTAAGTGAAAGACATCAACGCATATCCAAGAGGTTCAGTAAACACCAAAGAAAAATGTACGCAGACATGTCATAATCAATATGCTGAAAACCAAAGATAAAAAGGAGATGTAACCGTAAGGGGGGGGAACCCACATTATGGACAGGTGAACAAATAAAAATGGTGGGTGACCTCACCAAATGAGATGTGAAGACACGTAAACAGCAACTTTAAAATACTGAAAGGAGAAATAAAAGACCAACACAGAATTCTATATTCAACTGAAAGTCCCCACAAAAATAAAAAGTAAAATATTCTCTCACAGATAAAAGCTGAGAGCACTGCCCTCTGAAAAAAACTGCAATAGAAGAAATGCTAAAAGGAGTTCTTTGGATTAAAGGGAATTTATACCAGATGGAACCCTAGACTTGCTGGGGAATATGAAGGAAAATCTTTTTTAAACAAATGTTGCTGGGACAACTGGATATCTATGTTGAAATAAAACTCAATTCTGTAGAAATAATTAATTTGAGATAGATCAAGTACATAAATGTAAAACTCCAAACCATAGATGTAAAACCTAAAGCCAGTGGGATGCATCACAGGCTATCTGTGATCATAAACATAAAACCCCAAACCACAAAACTTCTAGAAGGAAGTATGTTCTTTGTGAGCTTGGGCGTCATAAAATCATAAGAAAAAATTGATAAGAATTTTATCAAAATCAAAATTTTTGATTATCAAAAGATCCCAATAAGAAAGTAAAACAAACCCTAGTCTACAGGAAAAAAAATCATAGTACATATATCCATCAAAGACTTGTATCCAGAATTCACAGAATAACCACAATAAAAGACAATCCAATTTTGAAATGGGAAAAGACATGATAGTTCATGAAGGATATACAAAAATGTAAGCATATGAAAGTGCTCACCAACACTAATTACTAGGGAATTGCAATATCAATTAAAATCATAGTATTTCATACCAACTAAAATATATAAAACACTGGCAACGATAAATGTTGACAAAGATACGAATCAGCTGGTACACTCGTACATCACTGATGAAGAGTACAAAACTGTAAACCATTTCAGGAAATAGGAGGCCGTTTCTTAAAAAGTTATCATATGACTCAGTAATTATTTTACTCTTAGCTGCTTATCCAAGAGAAATGAAAACATGTATCCAAATAACAACCAAAAAATAAGAATATTCATAGCAGCCTTATTCATAATTGCCCCCAATGAATCCTAAAAGTCATCAACAGGAGTATGGATAAACAATGTGTGGTATACTTAGAGGATGAAACACTACCAGCAATAAAGAATAATTTACCAACATAACAGTATGGATGAGTCTTTAAAGCATTGTAAGTGAGGGAAGCCAGATGCAAGAGTACACATTATGAGATTCCAACTATTATAAAGTCCAAAGTGAGAAATCAGCAAATGATCATCGGGGCAGGCGGGGAGCAGGGACGACTTGAAAGACGCACAAGAGAACTTCCTGGGTTAGTGGTGCTGCGCTCTAGCTTCTTCTGGGTGGCTGTGTCACAGATGCACACGTGTTAAAACATCAGTCTGAACACTTAAGACGTGTGATTGCTATAAATCATCGTAAAATTAAGGTGAGTGGCTCCTACCTGTTCCAGGAGCATCTGTCCCCAGCCCTTTACTGACCTGATTCGTTCTCCTCATCGTGATCTTTGGGCTCTAATCTGATCAGGGCTTGGCCCTTGACTGTAGAATTTATCTTAAAGGGCACAGAATCCAGTGTCCCTAAGAAGTAGCATTTAGGATCTGTGAAGCAATTCTGTGGAACCAACTGTTTATTTCCATCGGTTAGTGAGCAATCGTTACACCACTGTAAGGCACTGACTTGCACTAATGTGATTTTAACATGAGTAGATAGTAGAATACTGAGCTATATTGCATGGCAGTAAAATAACGGAATAAACAGTCTTCAGTCATGTGGAGCACTATTGCTTTTCATTAAACCCATTCTCTGTTGCTTGTTGCCATGACTTCAACAGTGCTCTAAACCAGTTACAGGATTTTTGGACACAAACAAATGTATTTCCTATCCAAAGCAGATGCACACGCAGATCATGCTTCCTCCTTTGTTAGAAAACTCTTAGTATTTGCCCTGGTTATGTAGAAATGAACCACAAGTCAGGGTCATACGGTAGGAATTTATTAACAAGCAAACAACTTTGTTCATACCAGGAAGACCAGCAATTAGGTTATAAATGACTGGAGAGCAGGTGCAAGAACTTACAATCTCAGAGTGTTCCGTTAGAATGTCTGCTGCCCAGTAGGCCCACCAGAGGTGCTCCCTAAAGCCTGGTTATCATTTAATGCTGCACGCCCTCTGAGAAAATGGTGTGACCTGCAGAGGTGGGAGCACACACAGGGAGTCTCCCTGCAAGAGGAAGCTGGGAAGTTCAGTAAATAGTGATGTTTGGGGATAGGGTCCCTCACAAAACTTAGAACTACGTGTTTGCTCACTCCTCAGGAATACTAACTCGGCCGATTGATACTAGATAGCCAGATCGTCACTGCATAAGTTCTGATTAACAATTCTAGGAAACAGCCATTTAGCATGCACTGAAGTGGTTTCTCAGGCACTTGTTACACACACAGAAACCAATTCTAGCCATCAAAAGGAAATCTAAATCCACAGAATCAAGTGTTCAGCCTAGAAAGCTTTCTGGAGAATTATCTACTACAGAGAATAATTTCTATAATCACCTTCCAAATTTCCAACCTGAAAGAAACCTGTATACTCCATAGTCAAAAAGCAGGCAGCTTGAAAAGTAAACACCAAACTTTTACACAGGAGGAGTGAGTGAGGAGGGATACGCAGGTGCTAAGCAAGACACCAAATCAGGAAATTTTCCTTTGTGCCACAGCATCAGCTCAAAACAGGACTGGCCTTCTGGAGGGGTTTGGAAATATGAGGCTTGCTTCTAAACTCATTAAAATTTTAGCTAAGGTGGCTCTGAAAACGTGAGGGAGAAAAAGGCATCCTTTGGGTCTTTCTTAGTAGAGTATCTGAGGCTAACAAAAAGAGACACGTTTTTAACAGAAAACAGCCCAAAATAAGAATTGGTCATTGGATCCTCTAAGCCCCCCAACCAATCTTTATCACTTGAGCAGTTACTTTCGGCAGGGTTGTTTTGAGAAGCAGCTAGAGCGATGAAAAGAATACAGTGTAGTGGTCACACGTGCCCCCAGACCTGCCGTCAGCTGGCTGGGCGCTCTTGGACAACCCACCGAGTCTCCTGAGGAATCAGGGTTGAGTGCTTCAAACCAGCAGAGCCCTCTGCTCACCGCTGGACCTGCGGTGCCCAGAACAGTGCCCAACACCGTGGATGCTGACTGAAGGTACCTAGGTTTGAACCTTCCTTCTGCCACTTAAAAAGGATGACCTCAAAGAAATTACCTACCTTCTCTGAGCTTCTATTTCCTTATTTATAAAATGGACATGAGTTTTAAAAAGATGGACATGGAGCATTTAGTAAAAACTAAATAAGTTAGCCATAATTATCTGTTGTATACTAATTCTTTACATTTAATTTAAAAAGAAAACTTTCAGGGCATTTCGGTATTATTGAAGACACCCTGTGACAGACTGCCAGCGAACTATGATCTCAAACATCTGCCTCCCGGCCCACAGGGGTAAGCCCCGTTCGTACCAATGATCTTGTCCCAGGGCTGTTTGGTTCTGTCTCCACGTGTCTGGAATAGTCAGCATGCACTACGCCTAGAGCTATGGGGTAGCTGACAGGAAAAGCTGACGCCATTAGAATGATGTGGATGCACAGACGACCGACAATGCCAGTTTAGGAGTCCAAAATGGGTTTCTAGTTCCTGGATCCAATCTCATCCTGCCTTTGGGAGTCTGAGACAGCTTTGTATCCGTATTAATTTTGCCTAAGTTAGGATTAGTATGCACATTATTTGTATCTAGGCTTTGTCCTTCCCATTTTCTTTGATCCTCACAATACTCCTATAGAAGACAATGTAACATGATGGACTAAATACATGGCATCAGACAGGCACGGCCCCACCATAACCTCTCTGTAAATTTTGACTTAATAGTCCATAAACTTGCTTTCTCATTTATAAAATAGGGTGGCAATGCCCACTTTGTTTTAGGGCTGCTTAGAAGACACAAATAACATGAGTAAGGCATCTGGCGAGAAGCACTTAACAAACTATAGCTCCTGTTGGTATCCCCATTTTACAGAAGGGAAAACTATGGCTGAGAAATACTGATATTCTTTCTTCTTTCCACCACATCAACTACACTGGGAATAAAAACAGGCAAATCCACTGTTTTAACATACAAGGTCGGGAAAAGAATGAAAGTGACAGCGAGAAATGTTCAAGTGCTCTGAACTTAAGTGATTAAGTGGAACTGTGCATTGACTTGACACAAATAACCATTCAACCATCTTTGCTCAGACTCTACACTTATTTACTTCCAGATAGTTCTCTCCCTTGGTAAGAGAAGAGATTACCAGCTGATGGGAAAATTCTACTCAGCTTGTCAGTTCAACAGTTCTTTGGGCTTTATGAACTTAATTATTTTCTCCAAGGTGGGCCACTTACCAAAAAAATGACAAAAAATAAATTGGGCACTTTACACTAGACCCTTAGGAAATATGGTTCCACGAGACCCCCCTCAGCTGGGGCCTACAGTGTGGCTCCTCTCTGAGCTTGTGAATTTGCCACAAGTCTTATTGTCCCTTACGACCTAGAGTACTCAGCTACATTCCTCTTTCAAACCATGCAAGTGCCTGGATGAATGGTCTCAGCCTTACTGTAGGTCTCGAGTTGCAGTGCGCAAGCATCAGGGTTGGGGGTAGGGAGAGGGCTCTAAAGACACTGACGGCCGGGGCACATCCCAAGCAATTAGATCATCCTCTCTATGGGGTGGGACTCGGGCATAGCTCGTTTTTCCCTTCTGAAACTTCTCGGCGATTTCAGTGTGTAAGATGAACAGCAACACTAAGTTGCGACCAAAGTTGGAGAATAATACGGCCCAGGTGCAGTTTTTGGTTTGACCCACACTTCAAAGTATTTTAAATTAATGACCGACATTCCAAAATTCGGAGAATTCATGTCAAGTGTCTGACAGGCCCCTCTCAGCACCCACTCGGCCCAGGGGCCCAGTGAAGCACAGCCCTGGCTCTCGCAGGCACCTGAGTTTGAGACTCCTGCACTACCTGAAGCCCCGGATTGCTGCGGTCCTCAAGTTGTGCTTTTGGCGTTGTTACAGCTGCCACATTATCAACGTGTGACTAATTTATTTACTAATTTTCTCCCACTCTGAAAATGGCCCTAAACAAGCACATCTATAGTTCACTCAGTCTGAAAATTGCTTTTTGAAAGAATGCATTATTTTCCTAAATGCTACTGCTTGGGGAAAGACCAACCACAGACGCCTCTCCTCCTACAGTGGGCACCATTTGATTATTTCAAGTTGAGCATTTCCAATTAGCTAGTTAACATCTTGTGTAATTAAGCGGAGAAACAAATTCCTTAAAATGAACCAAAAATACACCAACTTCACCCCCAAAGAAACCTGAAAAAGTCTGAGAGGTCCACACGTTTTTCTGTTTCTGAAGGAGCCAAAACTTACCCCTAATGCTCACTACCTAGTCTTCTGAAAGTCCCGCAGGTCCTCCAGTCCAAAGAGAAATGCTGAGAACAGATGAATATGGGCTGTTCTGCGCACTTTCAGTCATAAAACAAATTCTGTAACAAGTTCTAACAGACTACCCAAAATCCTTTACATTGGGAATTCAGTTGAACAAATAACTAGACCAACAAGTGCAAATTACTTGGCCACTGTTTATCAAATCAAATGGTGCTAAACCGTTTACTCTCAACCCTCACACGTGACAGTCTTCTCTTGACACCTGTCCCAGTCACCAAGATGACAAGGGTTAGTCTTCTACCCATGGCTGATTTCTATGATTAGGCAAAACAGAGCCGTATTAGTTGCAAACTCTGCCACTGCAAATTAAAGATCAGAGAAACTATACAGCATTCCTCTAACAGTAGTACTGACAGATTTTTACACAGTCTTCCATGTGGTTTAAAAGTACAACACTATAGCTAAGAACCACCTTTCCTGGTACTGAATGCTAGGTCTTTCTGAAATCAGATGAAGAAAACACGATACAAAGAGGTAGTATGACATTGATCAGCTAGAAGAAAGCTTGCGTTCCAGACAGGAGAAACTGTGAGATCTTAGGCAAGTTACTCAACCTTGTTGAACCTTATTTCCTTTTGTTAAACAGAGTAATTTCTACCCCACTTGCTTTAAACAAATAATACAAGTTAAAGTGCTTCGAAGATACAAATAAGACAAAATTAAATTTTCCTGAAATCTGGACTTGGCTAGAGTATCAGTGACAGACCTCAACTTTGGGACCTTCTTTAAGACAGCTCTCCCTCCATCCCTATGGAATATATCAGTTTCGAAGAGTGAGCTAAATGGAAGTATGGTGAAGGAGTTTTAAGGTTGAAAATGACTCTTTAAGTATTTTAGCTTTAAAAATTGACAGATGTACTGAGTAATATCACTGTTACAACATGAACAGCATTCTAAGGTCAATGTACAAGACACATTCTGGAAAGCTTCCAGAAAATGCTCTAAAGGCTTCATTAGCTAAGTTAATTGCTAGGGATAGTCTCATTCACAGTTCCCTGCAAAGAAACGGAACCAAATCTTGACATTTTATGTTACATAGGAACAGTGAATAAGGCACATAATACAGGTGACTTGGGCCACCCATTTTTTAAAAAATAAACTATAAAAATAAACATAAGTAACTAATGGAATAACAAAATAAAAGTTTATTTTATTAGAATTAGGAATGTTCTTTCCCTCTGGGCAACCTGAACAGTCCAGTTACAATGAAAATCTAAGAACAGTTATTTCCACAGCACAGGGTGCTCTATGCACAAAATTACAGGGTTAGGAGCATTTAATCAATTTACCGATCTGATTGTCTCACCAACCCGCCCCCCCCATCCCCCAAGTGCTCTACACCGGGATTTGTAGCTAAAAGAATTTGTTACATCAAGTCCTTTTCTCTCTTAAAGTTAAATTTCAGTTCCTCATCATGGTTGAACCACATTTTACACTGCTGATTCAACCATTTCAAATCCAGTCAGTCTTGGATCTGTTATATGCGTGTGTATGTATACACATGTGTATTTAACATATTTATTTAAATACACATAAAACACGATCTGGGTCGCAGCAGATTACACAGAATTTAGAGTCTGATAGTATATGCTACTCAGTTTTACCACTGTGGTTTGTGTCCTGAGCTTTGGATCAACATTTTTATTGTAAGTCATTTAAAGTCCATCTGCTGCTCAATGAATTGCTCAAATGAAGCATGCACTTCTCGGAAGACAGTGTAGCTGCCCTCAAGAAGACAGGGAGACCTGGTGCCAACCATGAATAGAGCCCTCGGACAGAGGTGACACAGGGGAGCTCTTACACAGTGTGGCTTGCCTATCCCAGTTGGGGTCACTGAAGTTACTAACAGTGAAAGAAATTAACTCAGGGAATTCTGTCAAAGACGGAGATAGCTGTTGCAAGTTTGGAAGTAGAAAAGGCCAGTTCACCTTGATCCCTACAAATTAGGGAATGCACCCACAACTGCAATGCCCTCAGGTAATACGTCAGCACTGAAACTAGAAAGCAGCCCTACAAAGCACTGTCCCTCCATGGGTGGGGCCCGACACTAGGAAGTGTGCACACTGTTTTGGATGCTCATTGCAAGGGGAGCACGTAAAGAGGATTTATGACACTCAAACCTACATACTGCAGTTAACTGGCAAGACTTTTTAAAAACACCACACATACACAGAACATTTTAAGGGAACCACATACATCTAGATAGCAACTCTGGCTGCTTTTCAAAGTTACCAGGGAAAGGAACTTATTCAAGCCTTTTAAAACAACAAGAACAATAAAAACTTCTCAGTTTCGATAAACGTTTTAAGATTGATGCAGTCATTTAAAAGAAAGTCAAATGGATGACAGGGAAAGGGGAGAGGAGAATACGGAGGAAGCAGACAGAGTCCAGATTCGCACGTGAGGAGGCAAGGGAGGGGAAGATAAAAGTACAGGTAAAGTTGATCCTAAAGCAACACGTGGTTCAAGGAAGCAGCATAATATACTCAGCAAACATTCACTGATTTCTGATGGGAAAAAAACAGTTGCAAGTACATCTCATGTAACAACCTTTTCTAAAAGGAAAAGTAGGGTTGATTCAGCAAAGCCTAACTTAGGCAAAAGGCCAGAGGAAAGCGAACCCACTTCCCAATGGAGCAGTAAGATGTACGATGCGAGAGCAGGCAAGGCCGCCTCACAAGCGGTAAACACTCCCCAGACGCAGGACACTGAGAGGAAGACGAAGAGGTCCATCAGCCAGAACTGCTATTTAGTGTGAAGACCTCTTACTTGAGTTGCCTGCTTCCCTCCGCACTCCTGTATAAAACGGATAGGTTCAGGGATGCTGACCTGTTGAAAAATACCACAGCCAGAATGGCCTACACAGATACACAGTTAATAAAACCACCACCACCCTTCACTTTTAACATAGCTCTTAGGAGAAATTTCATACAAATGGACTGCACAGCTAGAACGCATTACTAGTTCTCCTATCTGCTGACAACAGAAAAGCAGCAACCTCAGTGGCCTCCACTGAAATGCACTAGATGGCCGTATCAAGTTCTAGGGGTGTCTGCCTTCAAACCGAACCCACAGCAACACACACAAGCAATCGCAGTACCTGCCGTTTTTAACTCACAATCTGAAACTAAGTGAATGGCTATTTGTTTATATTTATATTTGAAGCAAAAACACTCTATTTGACACCCTAACGTAAGGAGGGATGAGAGAAGAGCCGTAACTAAAACCTTAAAGGGCTCAAAGCAGCAATTAAGGGGGAAAAAACTGAAATGCTTCCTCTGGATGTGACGGGAAGCCCAGGAAGCCTTCAGCTGCGCGCGTGCCAAGGGCACACAGGCATGAGGCCGGCAGGGGAGGAGGCTGGGGCTGGGCCACTCTTGCACTGCAGGAACAAAGCTCCCTACTGCAGCCCTTATCAGGCCACGGCATTCACTCAGACTCAGGGCTTGACCTCCCTGTCCCTGACCAGGGCTGGGAATTCAGGGCATGAGGCCTATGGCCAGCAACAGACATAAAACCAGAGAGGGCAAAGTAAGCTCAGGAAAGGGAAATCAAAGAGCTCTAGTTAGGTCTTCCAGAGGTGCTAAACCAACACACCTTTTACCCCAACCCTCAACCCTGGAAAGATAAAGCAAACTGAAAGAAAATGCACAGCAAATAGACATAATCTTGAAGATTTTTAAAGAATAAATATTTCTGTAATTAAACATTATGCAAACACGTGCCACGCTTGCTCTGTCCATGCATATGCGCTATATACAACTTTGAAAAATACTGTGTTGTCCTCTTGTTTTAAAAGTCATATACAAAGTTTTTTTGTTTTTTTGTTTGTTTGTTTACTTCCTCTTTCTGCCTACCCCCTTCCCAGCCCCAAGAATTTTCTTTACAAGAAACTAATCATCATTCACTCATGACCTTGGGGTATGAGAGAAAGAGTCGGTCTGTGTGTGTGGGTGTGTCTGTATGTGTGGGGAGGAAGGGGAAGAGGTCCTTTACCAAAGTACAACAAAATGGCTGGGTAGGACATGAAAAGCAGTGTCAAGGAGCTGTTTTGAATTTTAACTGTACTACACTCAGGGAAAAGAAAAAGAAAAAAAAGTCAGCTTTGAGAATGAAGCTACGTTACAAGTTAAAGTTGGAGGGCTTTTAGTGTGTCTGTCACACTTTTGTTGGCGGCCTAGAATACTGTTGTACAATGGTTTATCTACCTTTTTTTATTACAATATAATTTACTTAAACTTTCCGTTAACAAAAGAGAAGCCTGGCACTACAGACCAGCGGCGCCAGAACAGGCTTAGTGCCCCCGTGTGTGTGTTTGTTTTGTTTTGTTTGTTTTAACTGCATGAGCACTCTAGATGGTAAAGTTTTCAGAGTTCATTTTATGCAGGGCCATTCTCAGTCCTCAATGTACTCCCACAGATCCTTTTCATAGCCTTCATGCACATGCTGTAACAAAACCCTTCGTCGACTCTCACAGTATCTGTAATCAAAGAGAAAAAAAAACTTGTCGTCAGCCTCCAATAAGGGGGAAAAAAGGCATTTACTTATTTTTTAAGGTATCCTACAGTATACCCAGACTTGGAACCAAGCATCGGTTTTTAATACGCAGATTTTTCAGATCTAGATGTAAACACATGACTGTTTCTAAGTTTAAAAAGGTATTTTTCGTAAGTCATAGTTTCCAGTTTCGAGAATTAATTCTAGAGCAATAAAATAAAGGCCTTAGAAATCATGAGGTTCAATCTTGTCATTCTACAGATTCAGGAACAGTTTTAGGAGGTAATTTCAAGGGTTACTTACTCACATGTGTAAAACCTTTGCTAACTATGGAAGCACCATGAAGTGCTGCAGGTGGCTACGGGAGGCAAAAGTTCTACTCAGGACTCAGTCTCCAAGCCCTCCCCAGCCCCCAGAGGTTTCTCCTGCTGCTAACAAGGTACTAGGCGTTTCCCAGAAAACACCTTTCGGAGAAAGAGCTCCATGTTGAGAAACCAAACGTTTTGCATTTTTAGCTTAAGAGGTGGCGTATCTTGAAGTATCATCCATCCCCAGAACAAAGTAAACCTCTTCTTAGAAAAAACAAACCTTACAAAACCTCTTTAGAAAGTCTGGACAGCTCACTTGTCAACAGCCCTGATCCACAAGAAACCAAAGCTAGGGCCAGCCACCCAATCCCGCCCCTCAGCCTCATGTCCTCTTGCCCTTTTGGGCCCCTGCTTCCTTGCAGGGCAGCAGCTGCACAGAGGAAGCTGCACGGGAGCAGCAGAATCAGGATTTCCTCCACTGTGCTTGATGAGCGCTATCCGCAATCTGTCACCCAAAGGACAGACCCAGTCCGTGAGGAGGGTGGCAGCCACTCAGTTACTGGAGATGCTAATCCCCAGCTCCACACCACCTCACATGGTCACCAGGGCACACCCGACCGCGGGCGGCAGAACCCCGTGCTCAGCAGCTACGGGAGAGACCTCACCTGTACTTGTCTTGTACTTTCTGCTTTATGTCCTGCAGAGAGTCCTGGGAAATATCTCGTTCGAGGTAGCCCGAGAGCACCTCTGTGGCATTCTCTAGATCTGCTTGGTTATTCTGCAAGAGGAAGAAGAATATACAGTCAAGCTGGCTTCAAAAAAGCTAAAAGATAAACCATCTTAGCTGCCTCCTTGACAGACTGCTCTCAACACCAATTCTGTAACTTTCACAGGCGGTTTAACTGCACTTGTAAAGAGCTTTATCACTTTCACCCCTAACAACTTATTATTTCTTTTCCAGGACGGTTTTTTAAATGTTAAAAAGAACTAAAGATTTGTCCATTACCTCTGGAAGAGTATCAAGGGCATTTTTAAAGGATTTAAGAAAACGTTTTTTGGAATCTTCTAGTTCTGAAAACTACCATTTGCTAAAACTTGAGGAAAAACCCATTATTCCTTAGCTGAACACCCATCTCTTAAAAGACAGCACTGTATGGAAGATTAAAGTTCTGCTGCCCTTTTCTACTGTGGCTGGTTCTGCACGTTCACGCGACTCAGTGCCCACCTGCTGGTACCATCTGGCCGTCCACCAGCACCAGGGCTGCAGGCATCAATGTTACATGAGCATCTCTACTCGAAAAACTTTCGCTACTAAAAGCTTCATTTTAGTCATTACTTCTCCACAAAAAGTAGATGTTATATTAACTTCTAAATACCATGTTATTAGTTTTGCCTGGATAAAGACTTTCGAAAGAACTTATGATGTGCCAAGTGTTATATAAGCACTATACATGGAATGTCTCACCTAAAGCTCTTAACACTTCTAGAAAAATACTATCCCCATTTTAAAATAGAGATATAGAAGAGGTTAAGTAATTTGCTCCAAGCCAACAGAGCTAAAAAGTGATGAAGACAAGATTCAAATTCAGGGCTAATTTCAGAACCTGCACACTTAATGGCTAGCTGGCTAAACCACATCAATTTGAATGTAGTTTACAGCAAGTATCTTCCTAATAAACACTAAAACTTTTAATCCACATTTTTTGGCAGATAGGAACCTTTAAAACTATATATATCACATCTGTGAAAGACCAAGCAGTCCTATGACACAGGTGGGCTTTTCCCCCACTCAGTAATGATTCCTACCTCAAAGATAATGGACTGGTTATTCTTTTTGAGGTAGAAAGCGAAGACATAGGTGTACATGAGTGTGGCACGGCACTGGCAGAGGACGTCAACTGCTTTCTTCAGGAACTGCACCTCGATCCAGGACATGTTGTGCTGCTGCATCTCCTCCATCTTCTGCTTCACCTGTGCATACAGTTTGTGCTCGAAGCGCAGACTCTGCATGTGGTTCATGTAGCGGTTACAGTAGAACAGGTACCTCTGCAGGGCTGCCCTAGATCGCTGCCCCGTAAAGAAGAATCAGGGTCACATAACTGTAACTGTGCTACACACACACAAAAGCTGACATCACACTCACTGAAGAAACGGCCTAAGAATTCAGGCTAAGAGCAGGAACAGATATCTACTGCTTCCTTTTATTTTGTTTTGTTTTGCGGGGGAGACAATAAGGTTTTTATTTTTTTAATTTAACGGAGGTACTTGGGATTGAACCCTGGACCTCATGCACGCTAAGCACGTCCTCTACCACTGAGCTGTATCCTTCCCTCATATTGCTACCTTTGTCATTTAATATTGTTCTGAATGTCCTATATAGCTGCACCTTCCAGTATAGCAGCCACCAGTCACATGTGGCTATTTAAATTAAAATTGAAAATTCAGTTCCTCAGTGTTCAACAGCCATATGTGGTCAGTGGCTAAATAAAGATAAGGAACATTTCCATCATTACAGAAAGTTCTATTGGATAGCTCTGTTCTGCAGTATCCAATAAGGTATAAAAAAGGAAGAAGCATCAATATTTTAAAGTAGAAAACAAAAGGGAAACAAGCAGACATCACATAATGCCTACTATAATGCAACAGAAACTATACAGTACTACCAGTTACATGTTCTGTGTTCTTTCCACCCTCCATCCCAAGTTGAGTCTAAATCCAAGTATCTAAAATTAACCACCAGTTTCAAGAAATACAGGGGTAGAAGAACCTATAAGGAACCCAGGAAGTTAACATCAGCAAAATTGAAAATGTGGAAAATTTTACAAGACAAAATGACTTAGTTTACACAACAAATAAACAGCAAGGAAGAAATAAAACCTAAAAGAAAAAACAAAAGGACCTACAGATTAGGGGAGACTCAAGAGATATAAGTCATATCCAATTTATGGACCTGTGTGGATCCTGATTTGAATCAACTATAAAAGAAAGTTTATGAGATAAATGGGAACATTTGAACATTAGAGAGTTGATGATATTAAACAAAGTACTGCTTTAAAAATATGTAATAAATATATAGCATAATTACAGTATATATTATATAATAAATATACATACAAATATAATAATGATCCTACAGTTTTATCAAAAGACTCTCTTAAAGATACATGAAGTATTACCAAAGAAACAATATATCTGGGTCTAAATTTGTTTTATATTATTTATCATACTGCAAAAATAATTCGCATGGTTCTCTCCCATTACACTGTAGCTCTCTAGGGCAGATACATTTTTTAAAAAGTAATCCTGTTATCTCTAGAACCTAATACACAGAAAATGATTAATAAATGCTTGTTAAACGCAATCACGATGGAAGGGTTCCTTACCACACATACAAATTTCTTTTTCTTTTCTTTTTTTTTTACTATCATCTCCTCATCCTGTCCTCATGCCTTAAAGTCTACAAACAGCACAGATATTACCAGGCCCTATGGTTGGTCTCTTGTTAAGAAATACTAACACTGAATCACATAATTAACCAATCACATGATCCAGTATCAGACAATGTGGAAACATCTCAAAAAAACCTACACAAGCCATATTATTTCAAGAGTCAGACAGATATCAAATCAATGCTTAAACAGTAGAAAATTACACCAGTTATATCTAAAAATATTATGCCAATTATATCTAATCATTATTAGATTAAAAATAATACTGTTATTAGATATTATATATTACTGATTAACAATCTAAAATTATGCAAATTATATCAAAAAATGAAATACATAGAAAATAATCTGCTTGGCATTTTATATCTCTCCACAAAGCACTAATATTTTCAAGCCTGTCAAATTCCTAAGATGAAATGGTAATTATATATTTTAAAAAATGTATGTTAGAGGACTTAATGTGACCAACAATTTTCAAATAGCTTCTCACTAAAATACCTCAGAAATTCAACATGAAAAGAAAACAAGCAACAGCACTGCAAATAAGACTAACTTTTTAATCAAATGCCAGAATCTGAATTGAGAAATGCAGTGTCCTAAAAACACTCTGGGAAAAAAAATCAAAAATATCAAAAAAAAATCAAAACAACTTGACCTCTTAGAACAGGGGTAGGCAAACTCTGGCCTGTGAGCCAGATCCAGCTGCTGCCTATTTCTGTAAATAAAGTTAACCCGGAGCACTGTCCACTCGAAGTCTACGGCTGACTCAGCACTGTAAGAGCAGGGGCAGATGTGAGTAGCTGTAACAGAGACCATATAGTGTGCAGAGCTGAAAACATTTACTATCTGGCCATTCACAGAAAAAGTATACTGACTCCTAGTCCAGAAGGTAAGAAATTCAAATGACAAACCACTGTCAGCACTTACTACAGTAACTCAACAACTTTCAACAATACAAGTAACCCTTTCCAAGGCACTCAAATTATCATCTATGTTCTTTCTGGACTACATGCCAACCATCCACTACTTTTTAAAACTACAACTCCAAGTAACCACTAGGCCAGAGTATGGAAGTGGGGGGAGTGGGGAAAGAATAAGCCAAATGGATGTGCACTGGTGTGCTCCATTCTAGGAGGCATGGTTCCCACTAAACAAAGGCACTCATGATGAAATCTTTCTCTATACACCCACAAGATCAGAAGATTCTAGTTAAGTCCAATATATAGGAGCTAGAAAAATAATGCATTCTAGTACCTAAAATGGACATTACAAGGGCTTAGAAGTTATGCCCAATAATCCAGCCTCCTTGTGGATCTCAGAAAGGGACTCTACCAGCACTCAAATGCAGGCTACATCAAGGCCAAGGATAACTCACCTACTTTCCTCCATCAGAAAATACCATATTCTGGCTAGAACTAGCTAGATGACTCTTCATTCAGGATAAGTGAAAATCAAAAGTTCACCATGGTAATTAGGAAAAATCTAATGCAGCATAAGAAAAAAAGAACATTTCTCTATGCACTCAAAAAATATCAAAATTAGAAGGAAACTTTAGGAAAAGTTATGGTCTCTTCACTAGAGCTTAAAACAATGTGACTGCTTAAAACAGAAGTAGAGAGCCACAGGTAAAAAAGGCTAAGATTAAAAAAACCGAACCAAACCAAAACCAAAAAGAATCAATTCCAAATGGGAGACGGGAAAAACATGACTGTCACTGTAGAGCTTTTTACACCACGATTACATGGGGTGTAATGTCATGATGTGGCTTAAAACAAATCATGGAATTTTTAAATATTAAAAATTTGATAATAACATACAGAAATCACAAATATTCTCTGGACCATCTGAATGAACTTATAACTGAGATGCAACGTTTTCAGGTCTTTTATCTGTGAAATGGTCAAAACAGGCATCGAGCAATAAAAGTGTGCCAGAGTTAAGAATGAGAACAATAAGCAGTAAGAGAAGACACCAATAATAAATTCTAATCAAATCAAACTTGGATGCACGGTAGGAATGAGTGTGCAACAGCTGGGACATAGGAAACTGGTGGGAAGACAAGTTATCACACGGCACTCAGCAGGAGGCTAGCAATAAATTTTAGAAACCTGGCCTTACAACAGTCTGTCAACAGTCGTTTCATTTCAGCAAACTTATCCATTAAATCAGCTCTAAGTTGAGTCTGACTGGTTTTGTAGTTTTCTCAGCTTGGCTGTACAGTTGCGTAAGCGTTTACAGCTGGTTTTATGTTTAAACATATTTAAGTAATATTATAATGAATATAATTAAACCAACATTGGAATCTGTGAGGTATTTTTTTTGTTTTAAAAGGATTACAAATATTGTGAAAGTCTGTAATGCAACAGACCAGGTTATACAAACATATTATTTTGTATTTATGGTCATTTATATTATGAATAAATTTTAAAGGAACATTTAAAAAGTGAAACCGTAACAAACAGGTTAAGTTTTTGAAAGCAGCGGCAATACAAACCATTTGAAAAGAAGCTATCTGGGGACACTGGGGATTTTCAATACGGAGTGGATGAATGTAAGGAGCAGTTAAATTTCAGGATTCTACAATTATGACAATTATCAGCTGAAAGGAACTCAAACTGTTACTGCATCTAATCCACACCTAGTGTCTGAATCCCTTCTACTATAATAGTGGGTTACTTTCCTTACCCAGTAATAGAGAAATCCCCACCTCCTGAGGTGTTCATTCCAAATTAGCTCACCTAGAATCATTAGAGCTTCTCGAAGAACAATGAGGCAATAAATTACTTAAAAAGAAGCAAGACTGCCTATGAACAGCAGCAGTGCCACTTAAATACTGTTCACTAGTCTCCTTGCTGGGGATGGAAAACCTCAACACAAAGACTAGTGAAACCTGAACTGTGCTACATAACTAGATTAACCTTAAAAATGCAAACAAACATATAAATAGGAGTCCTCCTGATAACGCATTTTGCATAAGATTTCCCTTCTCCATGCACACACAGATAGATACCCAGTATTTACGAGTGTCCTTCTCCAAATCTTTCAGAATGGAACACCTCTGCTGAGTTGCTCCCTCATTCACTGGAACGCACATTCCTGTTCACCTGTCACCTGAAAAGGAAGCACTTACCTCCTGTGCGTCTCTCGCTGCCTTTGCGTCATCCTCGTTATAGCGGTTACAGTTGTACCTTAGAGCAAGTGGAGAGGATTCCATAAAGACACACATCAATGAAAAGGGAACGAGTCACAGAACTTTAGTCTAGTTTTAGATATTATCTGGAACAAATATCCTCCTTTACACTAAAATACCCAGGGTTCCTTCTACGATTATAACGATAGAATTACCAGGCTGAAAGGAACTCAAAGTTGTCAAATCTAACCCACACCCAGCGCATGAATCCTTTCCATAAAAGCGTATCAGTTCTCTACTAGTAACAGGCAATTTCCCACCTCCTGAGGTAGTTCATTCAAATCAGTTCACCTATAATCATTAGAAAATATTGTTATCTAGAAGTTCCACTTACAACTGTAGTTTGAACTTCTAACTCAGTTTTTGAAGAGATCACCTTATATCCCAGGTTGTCTATTATTTAGCCAACTATTCCCAACTTTCCTAGAGCTACCTTCAATTCTTGACTTTTATACAACAAAGAGAACCAACAGTTGATGATCTGCTATATAACAGGTGCTGTGCTATGTGCTTTACATGATGTTACAGTTTATAAGTCACTGAAAACTGAGTAATACACAAAATGAGAAGCAACGGGAAACCTGACCGGGGAAGTCAGCTCAGAGTGGAGATGAGTGCGACTGGCACTTCCCCTGTCCTGACTACTTCACCTTTTCTTTTACAGGAACAGCTGATACCTACTGAGTGCTTAGGACATACCATCCACTTACCAAGGACTTTAAACGTACTTTCACATTTAATACTCTCAGCCACCTTATGAAATATGTATTATATTATCTTCATTGAGCAGATGAAGAACTGGGTTTTGAGAAGATAAACTTAAGGTCACAAAACTAGAATTTCAAAGATGGAAATTAAATTTACACCTGCCTGCCTGCCTGCCAACGGAAGCCTTTGCTCGTAACGAGTGAGTATACTGTTCACATGCTATTGTCATGTCTTTAGAAACTTTTAACACTGATCTTTTTAGAAAGAATTTTGAGTTTAATTTAAATCTTGTTAAACTGGATTCATTATTCCAGCTTGTCAATCTCTTCAAGACTATAATGGTTTCTATTTCAATATCCCTCTCTGATGTTACCCCAAAATGTATACAAGATTCTCATATTCAAGAAAATCATCAATAAAACTAACCAGAAAGGCAGTATGCAATTTATGTGAATAAAAAAGATGAGGACAAAGCCTTTCAGTAAACCTTTAAAGCATTCCACTAGGAAAACACAAATCTATTATCTGTACTCCAAGAAATGGTCAATTAAACCCCAAATACCCCCATCTGTATTCATAGCCTAGGCCATAAACCTCTCAATCTACACTGAAAAATCTCGCTGAAATCTACAAAACGTTCCCAAATCCATCACTGTAATACCATTTGATTCTGCAATTTCATATAAGAGAAAAATTAAACTATGTGGTTAATGAGTAGTTTATGGAATCACAGATTTTGGAAACTAGGGATTACATTCTGTTTCCAATATTTGGTACCTTTCTATTTTCCGAAAGTACTCAGAAATAGCCAACAATGGCTCACTGATCTCATCTTCAAGTTCTTAACCCAGACCGTAATTCCCCTGGGTCAGAAGACTTATTAATTTCCCCCCAGCTTGGCTTACAATCCTATCCTCTCTTGTAAGTAATTACTCTACTAAACTAAGCCCAAAGACTGCCTCTCCTTGCCCTCTACTGGTCAACTAGTAACACCTCTTCTTCCTGTCTGATAAACCCTTAAAAACTTTTTTTTTGACATTTCTAAGATATTTTTTAAGCTTCAACTCATTCTAAGCTTTGCCAACACTGTTAAGAATTTATAGGCCAAGAAAGCAAGCAGAGTGCATCTGTACTTCTAGCCTGGATGTCTGATAGTGCCACTTGGAATGCTATTTGGAGGGTTCCCAGGTGTTTTCAGATTTAAACAAGTATAGCATGATTCATTTGCAATGTCAGCCATAAGTGAAGGCAAGACACAGGCAACATTTCTGAGACCCCTGGGCCATTCTTCATTCTTCTGTATCCATCATGTTTTGTACTTTTCCAGTTTTCAATATAGCTCACTTAAAATTTGAGTTGTGATGAGAGATTTCCTTACACACATACAGAAGTTCTCTTTAATAACTTCTTCCCCATTCATTCTCCTCTTTCACTAGATTGTTTACATACACTCGAGTGAATTCCATTTCTGGGAACACTCTAATCCTCTGGTTTGCCTTCTTAAAATGTACAGTACCTAAACCCCAAACACCCTTCCTCGGCTCTGACTGAGGTAAAATCACTTTCTTTACTTCCACTTAACCAGTGAGTTATTTTACCTGGTTCAGAATTAGTTTCAGAAAAGTAATCCCTCTTACAATTCCTCTAATGAAACTATTGAAAATTCCAATGAAACTAAAAGGGAAGACTTGTTATTGTCTCAAATTTGGATCTTCCTCCTTGTCTTGAAGTTGCAGCATCTTCCCCTCCCATCCACTCTCTACAAAGCAGCCACAATGATGAAATAATACGGATAAAGCACATATTACAGAGCCTTCTCATCTCAACTACCAATGTAATCTTGTCACTCCTCGATAAAATCCTTCTGATAATGTCCAAACTACTTTAGATCCCAGTCTGCTCTCTCTATTCCTACTCCCCACAACTTATGAGGGGCAAGAAATTTAAATGCCAGTCGGAAACCGGCAAGACAGACAAATTAGTGAAACAGGCTACCTGCATGTTATAACACCCAGAAACAGTTTCACTTTAACCAGGAGATGCGTAGCTCCCATTTTTCTCAAAACTCAAGGCATCCTCAGTCTTACCTGTATTTCCCAAACCGGTAAGAAATATGTAAGGAATAAAGGAATGCCTCTCTACTAAATGTGGCTGATGTCATCGTAACACACACAAATCCCAATAAGCTTCGGTCTTGGGAAAAGCATTAAACTGGAAAGTGAAGCTCCATCTGAAGGGCTACTGATCGATCCAGGCGACATCTGCCAAACAGGAATGCAGGTCTGTTTCCATGTTCCTAAGAGGCTAAAAATCTGGACTGTGTTGGGCAGTTTTCCAGTTGTTACAGTTTGGGACGAAACTTTCTGTCTAATGTTATGCAGGGTAACTAAAACACAACTGCAGGCTGGGCTCTGCCAACAGTCTTAAGTTTCCAACGACTGCTGAGACGAGACAGCGGGACTCCTGGCTGAGTGAGGGTGACTTTCACACCTGCCTCGGTTCGTGCTGCTCCTTTTGCCCTGAATGTTTTTCCTACCACTTTTTAAACAAATGAGCCCTCAGTCTTCCTTGAACTTCAACTCAATTGTTACCCACTCTGTGAAATAAGTCTAATTAATCCCTCTCTCTGGATATCTCGCATGTACTTCCAACACTGATTACCTAGCTCCCAAGTCAGATGGTGATTTCCGTGGGGTAGAAGCCTTCTTCATGCTGTTTGGCAGATATCACATACTTATGTGAACATATTCTTCCCTTCATCCCCCCAACCTACCATGCAGATCCATGTGGTTCCCAAGGGCCAAGACACACCCAGCAAAACTCTGCTTTACAGTTCTGGTTACGACAGACCATGTGATTACAACCGCCATCCTTCTCAATTGTGACATGGCATTTGGGACATTCCTATGAAGAGAAACTATAAAGTTGGTGTCAATGCTACACTGAGGAGAAGCCAGCTCTAGATTTGGTTTATTTTTAAATACCACATTTATTGTGATTAATACATGTAAAGCACTTAGAACAGTATCAAATACTTACTAGGCACTATTAAAATGAGTTGTTATTATTACTGGCTTTTAAGATGTACAACAGTTTAAGGATTTGTTTTAGTGGGGTTGAGGAACAGGAACACTTTATAAGTACTTTTATCCATACACATCGTAATAATAGTTTTATGGAAGGTAAAACATTTTGTTCATGTAAATATAACATTCTTTCAGTGTCATCTAGAAATAATTATTAAGTACTTCCTGTATCCCACACACTATTCTCAGTTTTATATACATTAATTCATAAATCCTAGTAGTGTTCCTACTCCTAGCTTCATCTGTGAGATGAATAAACTAAGAGAGAGGAAAATTTAAAGAAACTAGTACAAGGTCACACATTGTAGCAAATAGTAGTCAAGATTCAAACCCAAGCAATTTGGCCTTAAGCAAGACTGGTAAATTCTTTTGGTGGCTACGGAATTTCCCAACTTTCTTCTGCCAAATATCCCTGTTTTAAACTCATCTCATTGTGGTCCATTTACAATTGTGCTACAGAGATCATGTTTTTTGCCAAGTCTGTATCATTTTCTTGGATACTAATGAATCAAAGTTATTACCCTGCAGGCATATGTTTTTATTCTCTTGAAAAATCAAGAAAATCAAACTTACCCATTATATTTAATAAAACTATAAATAAGATGTAAAGATTGTATTTTTGCTGTGTGTATCTGTGTTTGATGTCTGTAACTCCCATAAGGTAGGGAGAATGTCATCCATTCTATCTGCACAATTCAGTGATTGCCAACAGACAACAGTGCCCATAAACTATCGTAATTTAAAATAGGTCTATGGACCTGTAATTATTTTAAAATAAAAGTTTTTAAAAAAGTAAAAGCCAATATGGCAATTTTTCATTATATATTTTAAATCAAATTTTTGAAATCACCTAAGAAATACTACATTTTCCCAAAGATGCAAACTGCAGGCCTAAAATATGTTTCATTCTATATTTCTTGGTTATAATTAACTAAATAGTATTAAGTTCTCAACATATCAACAATCTGCAAATCTGTTTAAGGAACTAACAATGATAAATAAATAAAGCTTCTGAAATGTCTTAAGAGAAAAACTCAGTTTCATCTCAAAACTGCCGAGCAGACATATCTGATATTACAAATTACCATTCTTGCTCAATAATCTACCTTCTAAACGAAGTCAAACATATTTAGGCTGTACTCCCTATTTTAACACTGTAGGCATTTAGACTATTGGGGGATTTTTCTAGATGCAGATAGAAGGCTACCATTTAATCAGACTACATAGTGAAAACCTAGCAGTCCTATTGTAAATACTAGTTTGACAGCATATTTAAGTATTCTGGGACTTAAACGAAAATTTCATTAAAGGGGAATTTCAATTATCCCTGGGGAAATCTTCAATTTTCAGAAAAAGAATGCTTGGCTAGGATTTTTTTTTAAATGACAAAAGCAACCACTTCCTGACATTATAGTAAGGTTTTCTTGAGTGAAACATGTTGTGTTTCTCATGATGGTTTTAGAGAGCACAAAATTATCACTTTCAATACTACATTCCTCAAAGATGTGGGCATTTGTTCTATGTGACAAGACTCACTGTTTCACTGACAATGCTTTCTGGGTGTTAGAAATGTATGAAAATGTTTTAATCTTCTTGGGTAGAGCAGCGTACTAATGGTATAAAATCACATGCTGGCCTTCACTATTTAAGCACTCCTGATTCTTTTCACTGTCCTATGACTGAGCGATAGAACAGTGCAAAGCTATAACTAACACCAGTCAAACAATGCAGCATCCTTTAAAGCATCACCTTCACACGTGATACTTAATAATAGCCTAATAATCCTGTTATCCATCACTCAAGTGACTTCCATATGGGATTAAATATATGATTGGATTAAGCAAAGATTGGGTATCTACACAATTTCCTATTAAGAAATTGGCTGGGTACACTGTTTGGATTCAAACACTTAATTATTATTTAGTGATAGAAAACGACAGAAAAGAAGGGTGCTCAAGATTACCTGCATTTGTAAGACATCTGTCTAGGGTTAAAGAAGTGGTTTATGGCATAAAGGGACTAAATATTGAAACCACTATCATCAGTAGTGTATTTCAAAAACAAACAAACAAACAGAAACAAAGCAAATCCTCAAGGATACTCATTTTACCCCAAAGCTCCTATCACAGGATCCAAGTCTCTTAATAAATCATATTTTGGAAGTTCAACATGTTTTAAAATTTTTTTAACTCATTAAGTCCAGCTCAATTACATAATAAAAAAGATACTCAGTTACTCTGACTCAACAGTGCACTAAAGAATGACTCCTTAAAAGCTAACCCTGGAGACTTTTAAAGCAACTACTATTTTTCCAATAGAAGAAAACTTCTAAAGCAGAGTACTATGCATACTGTACTATAGTACTCAATAAACTCAAACAGGAAAATTATTAATAGGTGATCATTCTAAAAGCAAAAACCGAATTTTAATTGAGAAAAAGGCAGAACAAGGCTCTTTACTAGGTAAACTTCCTGCTTTTGCTAATGTTGATGCTCCTATCCTTATTAGTTTCAGAACCAAAAGTTTACTGAAGGAAAACACCAACCTTTGTGTTGGCTGCAATCCAATTAGAGGTTTCACTGTCATCATCACACTTTTTAATCCACTTCTTCAACCACTGTTTGAAAACAAGAACTGTTAGGGTACAACAAAAGACTTAAAAAAGACAGCAAATTACTTCAACACTTAAATACAGTCAAGCTTGAATGTAAAAGCCAAAGGGTAAGATTATCACTGGTTTACTTCTTTTTGAACCAAGAAATACTATGGTTCTGATATCCAGTCCAGGTATAAACAAAATCAACCAAAGGAGGGCTTCCTCTGGCTAAAGCTAAGTGGGGGACCTAGAGCTTGATTCAAAGCCCACCTGCGATGTGTGTCATTCCCCTTAGCTACCTGCAAAGCTATCCAAGGGAGGTGCCTTAACTTTATCCTGGTAATAATCAGGAGGTGACTTATTCCCAAGGAATGTTCCCTGAATACTTACAAAGATGATCTGAAACAAAAAGGGCAAAATACAATCTTCTACCTACTAATGGATAAATAACAAAATTGTGGGCTGTGGCTTTCAGTCATCAAGTCTTAGAAGTACTCTATTATTTAAAAATAAAAATGCCAGACAAACTCACCTTACATTTAACAGGGTCATGCCAATTTTCTCCACAGTTAAAGCTGTTAAGTGACAAAAGAATTAAAAGAATTAAGTCCTACCTACTGTAAGTAAGTCAATGAGCAAACAATTCCATGCTTTATAGTTCCTCAATACTTTCACCAGTTTCTAGTGGCCGGCAAATACAACGAGCAGGAATTCTGTCTATTTTATTCCACAGTAAATTATCAGAATCTAGTATTGGGATCAGCACACACTGGGTGTCTACGTGTGAAATGAAGAACGACTGATAACCATGAAGACGTGCTATAATGACAATTTTGTAAGAAATGACTATCTAAACAGCTACCAAGCTGTTAAGACAATAAAATCAGTTTAGTTAGATCTGTATTTTTCTGATAGTTTTTACTATGTGTAATTCCTTACTGCAACCATTCTCTAACTGAAACCAAAATAAAATCATGTTCACTAATTTGAACTTAACTTTCAATCGATGCTTCATTGGCATATATTAAATAAGTAAAAGCCTGGCCTGTAGGGTAATTCTCTACTTTAGTACTAACGCACAGGAAGCAATATGTGGGGAGCAAACAGGTCACATCTTTGCATGATCCAAACGAACCTCAGACCAGCAGAGATAAACTGTACCAAACAAGGTATAAAACAAAAGAGTATGACGAAATATTCTCTAAGAATATATTAAATGCTAATTCCTTTCTGTTTTCTAGGTACATGGTATGTACATTTATTTAAAAAGTATAAATAAAGAATAAACAAATGCTTATAAAAAAAATCATGGAATGGCTGATTACTTAACTAACCAAGTAACTTAGAAATACCAAAAATCCTTTGCAAATCAGAGAAATAAAGTGCTATCAGTTTAAATGAAGTCAGGAAAATGGTTATTGCTGGAAAAGAAGATGGGGGAATGGGATGGTGAAGGGAACACCAAGAGGCTTCAAATGTACCTGTCATATTTTATTACTTGATTAAGCTGAGTTGAAACTATGTAAATATTCATTGCTGTTATTATACTTATACTTTCTTAAGCATGTATTCAAAATATTTCATACTGAAGTATATTTGAAAATAGATAAGGACTCAGACTCCACCCTCTGTCTACAGGGTAAATGCTGAAATAATGCATCTTTAATCTTTATCAAAATAGCATGTATTTTATAGAAATGTAATCTCCCCTAACTCCAAAAGAGTTTATCCACTGTTTTGGAATTGTTTAGTATTAATAATGTATAAATCTAATTCTATAGATGTTCGGGGGAAAAAAGAGTGAAATGGAATACCAATAAAATGTCTGTTTGCTAGTTCTAGAGTCCTTTGGCTTAACTGGCTTCTCATTCCTAAAAGATTCACAAAGGAATGGAAGATCATCTTAACTCTCTAACACATGATACTGAAAATTCCCCGTTAAGTAGAATCTAGAACTCAAAGGCTAAAGAGTATGCTACAGAACTCCCAAGAATCCAGGTTACCAAAAAGTTGTAGCCAGAGGTGCCATAGGAAAACTCTTATTTTAAAAAGCACATCTAATCAACCAAGTTTTATCTTTCCAAATTTATCTGCACATTTTCTTTTCAGTAAAACTGATCACAACAAAGGAAACAAAGGGGGGAAAAAAAAACCCTGCACATTTTATTTTCTGAGAGAAAAACCTGAAAACCAATCAAGAGCCATTAAAGGAACCAAACAAAATTCGACAAAGTCAGTCAAGCAGAAATGAAAACTGTGTTCTTGTCCTATTTCTTTAAGTTTGTGCCTGTGTAAGTTCCAGGGGAGCAACACAAGAAAGCGTGATTATAGCTGCATTTTTCCCCCAAAGAAAAATCCCAAAGTTAGAGCAAGAAGAGGAAAAATTATTTTAAGATGACTTTTTAATCTATTTCTCATTTAAAAGAAATATACACTATTTAAAATCGATATCACCCACCTCCTTGAGGTAAAGAATTTTTTCTACTTATTATACTACCAAAAATAAATAGGAAAGCTATGTGCACTGTTCCAATTCAGGAAATCACTTGCTCACCAAAACTGGCGTCCACATTTGCAGCGAACAGGTTTAGCGTCAGGATATTGGACTTTAACAACATGGTGGCAATCTGGGGCAGGACACCACTTTAACAGTCGATTGCACTGAAATACAAGTGAGCAAATAAAAAACAATAGCAAATTAAATCATGATGCAAGATTTCCTGGTACACCATGCAATTTTTTATATTGCTTTGTCACCACCACAAAGTTAGGGTGACGACACAAACATATAAAAACCTGCCACGAATACTTAGTCCTCTATAGCAATGCTTTTAGATGGACTATTTTTTCTTAGATTACAAATCCCTTTAAGACCTGGTTTTATAAAATAAATAAACCATCTACTGCTCTATCTTCAAAATTCCACTCAGGAACTTTAAAATAATTACTCATTATATGATCATTAACAAGCATCAATTTGTCTATGGTTCTATTTCAGGGCAATTTTAAAAGATGCAAGAAAACAAGATATGCTCCTACTCAGGAAAGGAGTTCACATGCTATGGAATAGTATGAAACGAGCTAAGGGATATACATGTAATTTCTCTCTTTGACCACAGAAAGCTCTTCTAAGGATAAAAGCCAGTTCCTAAACCACAGCAAAGGTTGCATTTTAGCTCTTCCAAAGAAGTATCTTTTGAAGTATTTTTATTATGGGACAAAACATGGCTAAAGTAAACACTCAATCAGAACTCAAGTTTATTGACCATTTCAAAAAATATACTCTTCCTTAAAAATGCTATTTTCTAGAAGATCTGACCTTTAGTTTAATCTTTAATAAAAATAAAAATTACTTTCTAGAATTAAAACACCAAGTTACCCTGATGCCCCTGTACAGGGGCTGGCAAGCTTCTTCCACAGAGCCAGAGATTAAAGATTTTTGGCTCTGTGGGCCATAACGGCCTCTTTAGAAACTACTCAACTCTGCCACTGTAGCACAAAAGCAGTTACAAAGTAAATGTGCATGTTTAAATAAGTATGTATTTACAAAAATAGGCAGGCCGCAGTTTGCCAACTTCTGCTCTGATGAAAGAAAAGACAAACAAGATAAACAAACAAGACCACAGCACTCTCTACTAACAACATTTACTGGCAATGGAAGCCATATAGGAGGGGTAGAGTGCTCAGCATGACTCAACACAGCATCACTAATAATCAGCTACAAAACTCTGTTAGGGATAAAGGAAGACTATTAAAATAATTTTGTTATCAAAGCTCAAGATCTATGGCAAGACATCTACTTACTGGTTTGTGGTTTGCCATGTTCCTTTGTGAATAAGGGTATTTGGCATTGCTTCATAAATAAAGCCCATAACTCAAGTTTATGGTAAACGTGTTTCTTATATAAGACAATCTGATATTTCTATTAACAAACAATTCCTTTTACTTAAAGAAGGAAAACTTACGAGAAATCACTTACCTCTACAAAGCTATTTGTTATTAAATGCTGGTACTTTAATTTAACTTTTGAATCTGTGATCAGGCGCCTAAAAGAGAGAATAAAAATAGTTTATTATGAAGTTTTCAGCTAAGAGTATTTTCCACATTAATAAAATAAAGTTTAATGCTCTGGTTACAAAAACTGCCTTAAATTGAAAATACTAAAATATAAAACTGTCAACAAATGTACTGTAGTAATCAAAACAATAATTTCAAAGTTTCTATAGTTTTATTCTGGTAGATGTTTCCACCTGTATCTTATACGCTAAACATTCCATTTTTAGAGTTTGTATTATAGGCTAATGACTTACCAACTATTGCCAAATTTAGGCCCCTCTGAGAGTCTTCTGACTCTGATATCTTGCCTTTAGCCAGCAATTCTCAGCCACCTTCCCTAAGATCCTCTCTCAAAAATCAGTGTGTGAAGTAAGAGACACTGACAGGAACATTAAGAAATGGATCCAGGTTCTGTGATACGTAATTTTGATGGCCTCCTTCTTCTGAAATGTCTTGGTAATTTACCAGAAATGCTTACTGATTACAACGTGGCTTCCCTTATCAACCTAGAACACTCTATAGTTCACAAGAATTTCTTGAACTCACAGGAACCCATGAAAGTGAAGAACCCTGAAGCTCAAGTTTCATTAGCTTCAATGGTAAAAATTCCTGTGAGTGTGTTATAAGGAAGTGGTGTTAAAGCAAAAAAGAGCAACCACTGACAAAGCCAGCAAGAACAGTATAAAAAATGCATAGTGCAATCTCATTAAAACCTTTTCAATGAACAAGAAAGTTCTGTACAATCTGGCCTCACCTATTTCTTGAGTTTCTTATCCCACTCACTGCTCTTCTCCCACAAACCCCCACCCCCGTCCCACGCCACTTTCAGTGCACTCCTGTCACATCCATTTTCTTTCAAAACATCAAACCACACCCTTCCTCAGAGGCTTTTGCATAGGGCTATCTCCCTTGGGAAGGGAAGAGAAGATTATCATGGTGGGGCTCTGAGGTGGGACAGCTTAGGTTTGAATATTGGTTTCACAACTTAATAGCTATGAACTGAAGATAAATTCTTTGACTTTTCTATTTTTCAGCTTACTAATCTGGAAAATGGACAGCAGAAATACAGCTGTGGGACTAGAACAGTGTCCGGCAAATAGTAAGCACTCAATAAATATTAGAGAAAGCTGCCACTATTATTATTATTTTATTTCACTCAGTTAAGATGTGTTGTTACTCACTCAAGGAAGCCTTTTCTGACAATTCCCTATACCAGTCTAGGTGTAAACCAACCCCCACTTTCTCATGGCACATTATACACCTCTCTTTGTAGAACGTGTCATAATTTTCATTAGACAACAATCTGTACAAACATGCGCCTTCCTGCTTCCTTATCCCCAACCAAACAATAAACTCCACAAAAGGATCTTATGTCCAATACACTGTCTGGCCTGTGGAAAGGGTTTAATAAGTATTTTTTAAATCACTAAACCTCCACATTTCACAGATGTTGAAACTGAGGTATAAAAATAATCAGTACACTTGGCAGTTCCTCAAAAAACTAAACAGAGAATTACCATATGACCCAGCAACTCCACTCTAAGGTATATATATCCAAGAGAATTAAAAATAGGTGTTCAATAAAAATCTTGCAAACAAATATTTAACACAAATGTTTCTACAAAAAGTGAAAATAACTCAAATGTCCAAGAACTGATGAATGGATAAAATATGGAATATCCATTCAGCAGAATATTATTTAGCCATAAAGAAGAATGACGTACTGATACATGCTACTACATGGATGAACCTTGAAAACATTACATCAAGTGAAAGAAGCCAAACACAAAAGATTACACATTGTGTGACTCCACTGAAATGAAATGCCCAGAATAAACAAAATGGTACAGACAGAAAACAGATGACTGGATGTCAGGGTCTAGGGGGAGGCGGGAGTGGAGAGTGACTGCTTAATGGATATGGGATTTCTTTTGGGGGTGATGAAAATGCTCTGGAATTATTCGTGATGGTTGCAGAACATTATGAATATACTAAAAGCCACTGAATTGTGTATTTTAAAGTAGTTTAGATAGTAAATATGTTATGTGAAATTTACATCAATTAAAAAATTAAGGAAAGAATCAGACTCAAAGTCAGATGCCCTGATTTCCAAACATGTCTAACTTCCATTACCCATAGTGCTTCTCTGATGTGACAAGCCCTAATGATTTCTTACAGGTGACTCTAGCCTCGGCATAACTGGTGAAGATAAAGGTCAGCCACAGTTATACTAGGCCAAGGTTATTAGGCCTTAGTTAATTTGGTGATAGAGAAGAAAAGTGATCTCCTGTCTTTGAGAATAAACATTCTCAAGAAGGCGAGTGCCAACCTGGCCATTAACAAGCTCATTTTCTCCACAAAGACCTGGTGCCATCACTCATGTTGAAAATAGCTATATGCCAACTCTCGTGGTGGAAGGCAGCTTTTCATGAAGGTAAACAAAATGACTCTTAAATGTCTTCTAGATACACATTCTGAGCACAGTGTCAGGAGCATTTAACCACCCTTGAGTTTTGGGATAATTCTCTGTTTTTACCAATGAGAACTGGAGAGCTGTGATTTGAAGACAGGAAACTTTAAACATAAGGATTTTTTTAAGTATGCCAAGTATTAAAAACTATTCCTTACACAGCACCCTGAGCAAGTCAACAGTATTACCCAATTTAGGACTAAAGATAAAATAGTTTTCTTTGAAAAGGGTTTTCTCCCCCCTGACATACCAATTATAGACAAGTACAAAGAAATAAAGATCAGCTGTAACCCTATCACTCAGGAAGAATAACCACTCAACATTTTTATAGATCTGGACACTTCCCTCCTTTTTTTAGTAAATGGATAATTTTAAACAGAGAACTTAGTACACAATATTTTATAGCTTAGTTTTTTTCCATTAACATTATTATAGCCATTTTCCAATGCTTTAAAATAATTCATTCCTTTTTAAATGGCTATATTACATTCCATCTTCCCCTATATTGGGCATTTAGGTTGTAGGATTATGCCAATGTGATGATTAACATCTTTATCTTAAAAAAAAAAAACTTTGCTCAAATTTCTGATTATTAAAAAGAAATGTAACATTTACTATCATCTGAATTCATCTAATCCCAGTCAAAGATCAGAACGATCTTACAGCCATCTGTCTGGCTCATCTCCTTTTATCACAGTCTAACTCTGACTCTGTCTTGAAAACACATCCAAAATTCAACCATTTTCACTACCTCCTCAACTACTGTCCTTGGTCGAAACCACCATCATATCTCATCTGGACTGTTTTAATAGTCTCCCGACCTCCCTGCTCCCACTTAGTCTCTTTTTATTGCCAGCAGTCAGGGCAGTCCTCCATGACTGTGTCATTCCTCTGCTCAAATCGCTCTCATGGCTCTATCCTAGAATAAAAGCCAAAAGCCTCATAATGGCCTATCAGCCCTGCACAATCAACTTCATGCAGCCCTTCACACACTTCTCTGCTTCCTTCCAATCTATAACTTCATATTCATAGTTCAAAAACATTTTTTAAAATTTAAATTAATGATTATCAGTAATTTAATTCATATCTATATACTTTATTAATTACCAAAATAACTTGACAAGTTATTTAATTTTGCCTTTCAGGGAGATGAAATTATTTTACTATGAACTTGAGCTCTGATCCCTTAAGTGTGTATTTTAAACAAACAGTATTCTATAGTGTTTGTGCTAAATTTCCTATTTAGAACACTACACTGCTTTTCTGTTTCACTGTAGAGAAATGATGGGGGGTGGCATTCAATTTACTCTACTATGAGATACACAACTTTAAAGTCATGTGTTTTCAAAGCATTCTCCATAAACTCACTGTAGACTGCCTTAAAAATAAATACAACCTTGGAGTAAGCAAAGAATTTTTTAAGTAGCAATAATCATAAATGGGGGAAAATGATGAATTTGATGCCATTAAAATGAAAACTTTGGTTTATCAAAATCATTCAGAGAGAAAAAGGTAGGCACACATTGGGGAAAATAGTTGTAATACATACATCTAACAAAAGATTCATATCAGAATATTTAAAGAAGTCATAGAAAGTAATTAACAAACAGACAAAGTAACAAAATTTTTAAATGGGCAAGTGATCTGAATGGGCACTTCATAAAAAGAGATATCCAACGAAAGGCGTTTGACATCATTACCCACCAGGGAATTGCAAAGAAAAACGACAATGAGACGCCCGTACACATCCATGAGAAAGGCTAGAATTTAAAAAGACTGATGATGCAAGTGTGGACCAGGACTAGAGCGGCCACACAGAGCCAGGAAGTGCGGAGGCACACCTGCCCTGGAGGAGCTGGCAGCTGCCTTGGCAGTATCTACTAAAGCTAAAACTCTCATTCCTCACTTTATACCCAAAGAAATCAGTACATGTCTACCAAGACACATTTAGGAATGTTCTTTGTAGTTTTTTTCACAATAGTGAAAACCAAACAAACCAAAAAACCCAACTGTCTATTATCAGGAGACAGAAATACTGCATAACAAAAAAAACCCCCAAACAAACAAAACAAAACAAGCCAACGTAAAAACATACATATATATTTAATAACATGCACATATCCCAAAGACATACATTACATTAACTGAAGCAGATTTGCACTCACAAAAAGAATTCATGCCACATTTAAATGAGGCTCAAAAAACAGGCAAAACTAACTGATGGTTGACAAAACTCAGGCTGGGTAGTCACGTGAGATGGATACTGTCTAGGAAGGGGCACAAGAACGAACATTCTGGGTACTGGAAAAGTTCTTTACCTTAATCTGGGTGGTTAGCAAAACAGACTTTTAAGGTAAATGTAGTTTACATACTCTACATAGCAAATTGAAGCTATTATAATTAAATAAGGATGATGTGTTCCCACTGTAAAAGATGAGATGCAATCCAAGAACACTGTATATCTTTCCAAAAAATAAATAAACTAGATAAGCAACAAGAACAGAACAAGATGAGATGTCC